AAATTTTTCATAACGGAGAAAGGTGATTTTCTATCTTGTTCAACTATTGGAATTAACGTAAATTTCTGACTGAATCCTGAGAGATATGTGTTTAGTTACTCTCCAGTATCCTTAACAAGTGTACAACTAGAACCCCTATATTTAGGGATAAAATTCTGTGACATAAATGAAACAATTAACACAATTCACACACATGTTCAACTCGAAAATCTAATCAAACAGACAAATGGTCTTAGTTTAGTTTCTAACCATGAATTTCAACATTTTAAATTCATTCTTCTCGACAGCTGCAACTAGAATATTAGCGCAAACGAAACAGGTAAAATTCTCTTAACAAAAGAGCATAGAAATCAACTAAAAGCACTTAGAAACAACAGAGAACTGATTATAACGCGCCGAAATAAAGGTGGAGGTCTAGTGCTATTAGACTGCGAGATCTATGTCGAAAAAATGACGAAGTTATCTTCAGATGACACCAAATCCTGCAAACCAATCAATGAGAAGAACAAGACTGAAATGATAAAAAAAAGCAGCTGATTGAAGTTCTTAGGAGAATGAAAAATGATCAGTCAATCAACGAAGACATCTATAAATGCATAAAATCAACAGGATCAATAATACGAAGACTATATGGTTTTCCTAAAATACACAAACCTGACCTACCTCTCCGACCAATTCTTGATATGCCCTGAACCCCTTATTACTCTGTAGCAAAGTGGCTGATAGATCTAGAACTCGTAAAAAACGTATTTGTATTCACTCTTTATAAGACATTTTGAATTAACTGAATACGTAAAAGAAGTGAATGTAAATGACAAACTTATCACCTCTCTTGATGCCGAAGCACTATTCATCAATGTTCCAACCACATAGACCATCAGTTATATCTAGAAATACATCAATAATAATGAGATGAATATCAGAATATCGGACGTTTATTCGAAGGAACTACTATTACATTGTACTTTTAATGTATTGTCTACATTCAGTGATGTAATTTATAGGCAAAAGGATGGAATAACAATGGATCCCCTCTTGGTCCGTTATGAGCAGATTACTTCATGGCCAGTCTAGAAAACAACCAACTTAAAATGACCATCGACAACATGCACTTGTATAAAAGGTGCGTGGATAATATTTTTATCGTTCATGATAACAAATACGATATAAATTATCTTCTAAAGACACTTAATAACTGCCATCCAATAATAAAATTCATACTTGAAGTTGGAAACAAAGTATTCGCTTTGTTGATGTCGAAATGACAAGAAAATACAACGGAACTCTAAGATGATCTATCTACAGGAAACTTTTATGGAATTAACAACTATCAAGCTTCCACACCTGGATCCCCATTAGTCGGAAGCAAAACTTAATCATAACACTCGCTACTCAAATACGAAGAATTTGTAGTCCCAACCTGAGCCTTTTCAAGAAAATACTTATCAAAAAGGGGTATCCCTCGATATTTATTGACAAGAATATTAAACCTAAACCGCCCAAAGCACAAAAATCCTCGATCGAAAGGAAAATACTTTAAACGAACATCTATTTCAAGGGTGAAAGAGTTACCGACGTCTTAAAGAGGGGAATTTATGATTCTTTAAAAAAACGTTCTTCGCAGCAACTTTGCAAATAATGTTCTCTAGCCGATCAATCTTCATCAGTAATCTTAAGGATAAATTATCTCATTTGACAAACTATATGTACACTTATTAATTTACCTGTTCATGTGAAGCCAGGTATATAGGTCGTTCGATGAGTACTTTATCCAAGATAATTCAAGAACATTACCCGGTTTGGCTAAAAATAGGCGGAAGCAGCTCAATAATTGAAGATCTTGTGAACACAGGTCAGTCAATCAAAGTAGACTGCGTTCAAAGTCATTTACAATGTAACTAGAAGGCTGCCAAAGACAGTTATACTGTATCTTCTTAACATTATCGATGCAATAGCCATACATCTAGAAAAACCAGAATTACGTGTCCAGAATAAATTAATACAACTTCTTCTACCACAGTCCTCATCTCTCATAATTTTCTTTCTTCATCATACTTTTCTTCCTTCATAGCTAACTGCTTCCTCTTCTATCATCTCTACAGACTTTTTACTTCCAAATGGTTTATTTCTGTTTCTACAATCCTCTTGATTACATATAATCTTAAGTTCAACATTTTATCTTATCATACTGAACCTTCCTTCCCCAATTATGATTTCCCTATCTATCCCCATGATGAATATTCAAGACCTCAACAATAAAACTATTGTTTCCCTGATAAAAATAATGTTTCAGTACCTTTGTTTATTCAACCTCACTGTTACTATGTTTAGCAAGATTTTATTATCACCATTATTGTAATTATTATCATCTTGAAAAATGAGTATATATTTGCGGTTGTAAAGTTTGGAAAATGAATACTCAGGAAAAAGAACTCTTCGTTGAACCAATCGTTCTTATTTTACGTCACAATGAGTATATTCCGTTTAATTTACTTTCTCATGAATAGTATAAGTAGTGCAAATACGATTGGTTTTATTGAATAAGCCGATAAGGATGAATGATAATGATACTAGTATTCGATCATCGATGTCTTCAAATCATCGCTCGTGTGTTTTGGGACTACCGAGTTAGCAATCCTGGGATTAGGGATAGGGTACTGGGTAAAGATGGCAAACCAGGTGATGAGATAGTGGATCCTTAACTGATATGGTTAGGATCTGTTACGTTGTCCAACCACAGCCTGATTCGACGGGTAATGCTGTCTGGTTTTGGAGCAGGCTAGAAACCTAGAGGCTGCCAAACCGAGACGTGACACCAGACCATAAAGTCAACGAATACTGCATTGAACCATATTAGTGATAAATGTAGACTACCTGATTGAAGTCCGCGTGATTATCCTAACCAATTGTTAGAAAATTTGAATAACATAGACCAGAATCGTTCACAATGGTTCAGGTACATTCATTCTTTGTTTTATCACAGAACCTGTGGTCCGAAATCTCTTTATGTCTACTTATTTTCCTTCTATATGCCTAATCTTCCCTATTGGTACTAGCCTGGAATTCGTGTTAAAGTAATTTTATTTTGTTGTACTAATGTGGTATGAAAACTTGAAATGATCCTACGTTAAACATGATTACTGAGCGAATGGTTGGATAAGCCCTTTATTAACACTCGTTTGTACTGAACTAAACAATGACTATGAAAATTGAGATATCGCCCTGTTGATGTAGACTTTTTATGTACCGAACGTTTGACGGTACTATCATCTCGTCCAATTAGTATGTCTACTAAAGGGAGCTGGTTAAGCATGTGGAACTACTAGGCTTTCGAGTTGTGTTGAGTTGTAAGATAAACACAGTCTTATTTTTGATGTTAATATCCACTAACTGATTATGGAATCCAAATGAATCTTTCAAAGAATACTTACGAAATTGGTTTCGGATATGTTCCATCAGTGTAGGTGACTGAAACATGGATAGGCTTAGACGTAAGTGGGTGTTAGTTTTGTGAATTTTCGGTAATCCATGTAAATGAGGAAACATAGAACCCAGAAGTTTCAATAAGTTAAACTTCTACTTACTAATAGCATTCATGTTAATTAGCTTCATTCGACTTAAGTTTGGCCTTGATTCTAATTTACGTAGTTTATCAGAGTAAACAGCGATAAATTTTCTTTCGTCACTGAGAATGGAAACCATTTTATTTGTGTAGTCAGACTTATTGATAACAATCATACATCATTATTTATCAGGTTTAAACAAGATATCAGTCAGTCAGTCAGCTACAACGTAGGACCAGGCACATATATGCACCGGTCCAAGTTTCCAAATCTCATTAGAACAACAAGATGAACACCGAATTCATATAAGTAGTTACTTCAATGGTAGCAATACATAAAACAAAGATTTTGTATAAGGATATGGTACAGAAAGAAAGATATAAATCAATTTTAGTCTCACAGTTTAATGGAAGACAGAGAGTGTTGGTTACGAGTCACGCAGACCCCAATCAAGTAGTCTGCATCTACCAACATGGCTCAGACCAGAAGTTAGTGTCTTCAAGCACTGATGCCACGTTTTTGTCTGGCCGCCCCTTACTTTCTTCTAACCATTCCCAACACTAGTCATCATTGAGCGTCGTAGTAATCAGTGTTCAGGTATACGTTACACGTGGCCCAACCATCTTAGTCGATGAAGATTTACAACCTCAACTGATTTACCCTTATTCCCTAATACCCTATGTCTAACCTCACTATTACTTGCCCGGTGATCCCAGTAGATGCGAGTAATATCTCTAAGGCATCTGTGGTCAAATACTAGTAACGTAGGGGTAGCTTCTACTCTTCATGGCCACATTTCGCAACCGTAATTCCTTTAGTGATTTGAAATGTCGAGGAGTTAGCATGTATTTCTGATACCCTGTATCCAACAGTTTGGCTTAATTCCAACTTTGACTATTTAATGGTTTAGGAGCAAGAAAACTCAGTTCATCATAAAGATTTTTAAATCAGGAATCTATTACCAATTCAGAAAATTGTAATATTGGGACAGAAAAAATTAGAACTAGGAGGTGATTAATTTTCATGAGCTGATAATAAAACGTAGGATAACTTAGTGACATGTTTATCAAGACCGACTGGAAATGAATCGACATAAACATTATCACGGAAGGATTTCTTAACCCTTTTCTGTTTTTGAAATAACAAAAATAACATGATAGACTGAATATGCTTCTGTTAATATAGACAATGCTCAAGTATGGATTGTCTAACAGAAGTTATGTAATTTAAGTGGAATAATAATACTAGAAAGAGCCATCTGACTAGTGAGCTTTGATTTCCCATGGTTGTCTAACTAAACTTAGTTTGTAATGTACCCCCCCCCCATAAACTTTCTGTAAAATTATATTAATGTACAATAACACATTCTCGTGCTTGTACGTTGCTATTTGAATAAATTAAAATTGAAATGATACTAAGTAAATGAAAATGAACAGATTTTTTTGTATAATTTATTATTTTCCATTCGGTTATTAACACCTACGTACAGAGAATTTGCACATGTAAATAACAAAAATAATAAAAGTAATATTATGAAATAAATAACAATCTACAACGTGAAATTTAAAGTTACCTTTCTGTATACACATAACACAAAATAATTAAGATGTAATAATGAACTTCAACATTTTATGCTTAATTAAATATCAAACTACCAGTATCATCGTCAGTGTTATTGTGTGGAAAGGAAAGGACAGGACATACATGTGAGTATGCGTGTGTATATATGAGTTATAAATCTACATCTCAGAGAGAAGCGAATTCACAGCGATGAATATTTCGGAGAAAAACATTCACAGAGAAAGCGAAAAGTAAAATAATATCCACATAAATGTATATAACAAGAAACGAATGGGGAAAATGACAGACAGAAAAACAGTGCAACATAGTGGAAATTATATTCACAAAAAGGTAAGCAAATTATACTTTAGTTCCGAAACGTTCTTTTAGTCCTTTCTAGTTTTTTTGGCCTCATTATTATCAGTTCTACTTTGATGTCTGGCTAGTGATGATGAAGGACGAAGAGTAAACGCTTCATTAGGTTGAGTGTCAAGATGATTAGCATAAGGAAGTACTACTGTTGGGAATGTGACCAGTCCGAAAAGCAAACATAATCCAACTTCAACATAGAAACCGTCCAGTAATGTTGAACATGTCCCACTGATATCAAGACAAGCCTATTAACAAAACAAAAAACTAGAGAAATTATAATTTGATTTTTAAAATGACATTTGTAGTGAGTTAAAATTATATCAAAAGATAGTTCAACAGTGTAATTACGATTAAGGATTAGGATGATTACTAATTTTAAACAATTGGGAATCATCTAACATGAATGTGAACGAATGGGAACTCGGAGAAACCGAATGTCTAAGATACAACAACACTTCAACATAGATAATTTACAAGACAATAGGAAGACAAGACTTTCAGGACAGCTTCATATTCCGAACAGCAGTCAAAATTGAAATAGAATAACTCTGTTTACGTAGTAACGCTTAATGACCTTGAAAACAACAAAATTAGGAAACTGAAAATTGATAACAGACAATGGGATAACGGTGGCGCAATATCGTGGACCGGTTGAAGCTAGACATTAAAACCTAATATCGTTTGTGATAAACATGGTCGTACAAGGTCAAAGAGAGTTAATGTGGTTGATGAGCGTTTCATGTTGTCATTGATGGGTCCGTTTATCGATCACACTTTACACTGAGATCAATTTTACAACTCAGCATCAAAATTACTCTTGTTTTGATGATGATTTTCTCAAAAAGAATTACTATGTAAATTTAAGCAATAATAAGCTCATCATACAATACTACTTGCCTGAATAGTTTTAGAATTCTCACAGGTAGCATTGTTAGCCAACCATAATTGTCCATTTCTATAAATCTCATCTTTTGAATATTGTATAGGATGAGTTATATTGATTGTATTAACAGATTGAACAGAATTAGTTCGTAAAGATAATAACCCAGCTTTTAATAAATCAGCTCCAGAGCATTTTCTTACAGTAAGTGGTTCGACGAGTGATAAAAACAGAGTATTCGGCAAACTTGTAGCTATGAATTGAAAATAGTTAACGACAAATGTTTTATTAAATAAAGAATAGTATGGATAAGATTTACAATGAAGATTAGTTTGTGTAACATGAATGATTTAGTATGATACACATCAAGGACATCTCTGAGAAATATTCGTCTACTAAGCCATGAAATATACAAGCAGATGAATGAAGGTGTCAAAACCGACTGTTCAGACTGACTTGGGCAGACACAATCGCCTTTGTAGATCGTCAGAGCACTATTTTATTTACTGGCATAAGTAATCTTAAGAGACAGATTCACATGTGTATATTTATATGAAAATGAAAAGAAAACTACAAAAAATGATAGGAGATTTATCGACTGAGTAGTATTTCATAACTTATTGATTAGAATTTGAATAAGGTATAAACGTCCTCTGTTTAGGAAGGATCTCAATCCTAATTATTACAAATGATGAACTTCTGTAATGCACTAAAGATTTATTAAAGTAATACTAAATTAAGACATAACGGACCTTGAAAACTTTCCCATATGTGGACCGTCAAAATACTTTGCTACTAAGTTCGACAGTAGGATGATATAGCTTTCTAGTGCTTCTTGATATTCAATAGTTGTCTCGCTAAAGTCAACTCGTGATGTAAAACATAACCTGTAATTATTCAGGAAGAGTAAAAAATACTACCCAACAGCTCAAACTAAAACGAGTGAAAATAGATTCAAATCAATAAATCAGTATCAGTCCTCACAGGACTAAGCCATAATCATATATATAAATAATAACAGGATTAGTAATATCGATCCTTTTATTTTATTCCAACCCAGTAAAAGTCATGCAGACATTTTGAACAATATGAAAGGATATTTGTAGAAGAAATATTGCAATTATCATGATTTAATGGATTAGTGAGGAAAAAGAAATAGACAACAAAAGTATTAATAAACTAACCTAAATTAGCTGCAGTATTTAACAACGTCATATAAGTTCCACCCACAGCTGGATCACTTATTTTTGCATGAAATGATACTTGAGTAATAAACATCACAGTAGAGAATACTGAATAAATAGCCAAATGACAAATCATGATACCGTAGAAAAGCCATGAGAATGATGTATGAGTTGTAGTTGATTCAAGGATGGGAGCTGACTCTTCTAATGTATGATTATTAGGAATGATTGAATGGATTTGATTTGAAATTTTAAAGTACGGTGCAAAATAAATCAATGGAACAGATAATGTTGCTAGAAATAAACTGTAAGAGAACGCTTTTTACAATTAGAAACTAATAGTTATGAGTAAATCAAGTATACGGCTCATGTACAAGAGTCATAAAATACTAAGTAGTTGCTTAAACTTAAGAGGATGAAAACCAGTATAGAGCAAAGTCATTCTGTTGTATCGGGGTAAGTATTTATTATTTATTGTTTATTCTTCTACTAAATAGTTATTACATAATTGGATTATTATATCTCTACAATCCTTTTGTTTTATGCTAACGTTGGCTATATAAATTATTGTTAAACGAATTATTATTCCTTAGTCATTTTCAATTACTTATGTGCCGTTTGTTACATTCTCTGTCACTTGTGTGATTGTGTAAAATATGATCACACATATGGGATCCGTTGCGGTCCGATAATTCATACATATATATTTGATATTGATATTGTAAACCTATATACATATAAAATAGTGAATAAAGTAATATTCACTATTCTGGTTATTGATAAATAACATACAGTGTGGTGTGTCCTACTGCTGTCGACAGATATAAGTAGTATGTATCGCCACTTGAAAGTGGAACGCATGGAGACAAAAGGTTGAGAAGAGAACGAGAACAGAGAGTGATTGATATGGAAGCGAAGGAACAAGTAAGTCGGAGACGATTAACGGTCATTTTGCAAATGAAGTGTTTACTGTACGGTTCTCAGATCTTTAATAATAATAATACAAATTCTAATGCTAATAATAATAAAAATAATAATACTACTAATAATACTAATACTAATACTAATACTAATACTAATACTACTACTAATACTAATACTAATACTAATACTAATACTAATACTAATACTAATACTAATACTACTACTAATACTAATACTAATACTAATACTAATACTAATACTAATACTAATACTACTAATACTAATACTAATAATACTAATACTAATACTAATACTAATACTAATACTACTACTAATACTAATACCAATAATAATAATATACGTATACATATACATATAGTTGATTTTATCGTCTTTAAGAGAGTAAGAACAAACATTTGAGTATAATAACATGAATTTATTTTATTTGGTTTGATTCTCGTCAGCTGCTTACAACTGTTAATCTTGCATAAAAGAACATGTTTAATAATCTGATCAAAGGTTAACAAGTACGCCTTTCATGTTACCACTATGTTTATAAGTATGTATGTACTTGACAAAGCAGCCAGATTGGCTGAACAGGGTATATCTTAGATTTTCTAAACATGTTTCAAAAAGCCCTTGAACAAGAGAAAGTAGTACTTTAAACAGAGCAATTACTATATATATACCGGATACAGGACATTAGGTCGGTAATTTTTAACCTTTTAGGTCGATTAACAAACACATAAACCTTAGTCTTATGAAGTTTGCTGGAGCGGTCGCTATCAGACGTCAGAAACTTGATGTATGTGTTCAAAAGATGATTGTTATTCTTTCTTTACCTTGATGACATTATTTCACTGCATCTTGAGATTTCTTCAACTCTTTCTTGCCCATTAATGACATCATCACGTCTTTTTTATTTTGACTGATTTCTAGGATGGTAACCTTATAGTAGCAAACTGAGCTTTACCACCTTTATTCTTGCTTATTATCAGTGTTTATTCATTACGTAACCACTTGTTTCTAGCCCAATGAACGTTTGTTACTATCAGTGTTGTAGAATGTTCTTTCATATAAAATGTATATTTACGATATTCTATTTAATCTATTAAATTTACTGGTAGCCTTAATGTACTATACCAATGTGTGATCAGAGCAATTTCCCACTAAACTCTTTAATGTCAGTAATCTGATTGTTGAAATATTACAGGTTGTAAGCAGCTGACGAGAAACAAACAAATACAGTAAGTTCATGCTGTTCTGCTCAAATATTTTTGCACCGTCTTGTTTGCAAGCTTTTGTTTGTCATATGTTTTAATGATCCAGAGTTATCACCAATTAATTGTTTCTCCATTGGTTCAGCTTCACATCACCTGTGATTGAGTTGCTTATTCACCGCAGTTTTTGGTTTCTATTCGATGTTCTTTGGAGTATATCACTGCATGGATTTCGAGTCATGATTGGATAGAGTACGACAAAGAATTATTCAGCTTAATACCTCTATTTTCTGAGCGGAGAACGGGTGGGAAAAAGCTCGAGGACCAACGGACATTGGGGTCTTGATCGATACTAATTGAACCCCGTGTCATTCGTTAAATAAAAGGTCACCAATCTTACAAACAATTTAGGCGAATTAATCAGTAAAAGGACTAGAAAATACACCCACTCTCATAATACAGGCACAATCACGTGAACCTTAATGCAAATCAAGGACCTGTTTATTTGGCTTTTATAACATAGATACATTCAAAAAACGACTATGCACAGCAAAAGCCTACCGAGGTAAAAAAGCCCATGTATAATATTTTAGTAATCTCGGTCCATTTGCCACTTGAGTAATAAGCAGTGGTAGAATCACTTCAAGCGGTAATAGTAGGACCCCAATGAAAACAAGTTTCTCTCTTGGTAGACCTTGTTCAATTAGTTTTAGTCCAGATATTGCATCTGCGGGACAGAAGCAAACCTAATTATAAAAATAAAAATAAATACGTTGAATTAACTCTAAAATCACATAAATAACAATGTACACAAACGGGAGAAAGTACACCGACAACTAATGACTGAAATACTAAGTTTTGGTAAATTAAACATTTGGTACAGATGCGAAGAAAAACATTAGTTGCTCAATTATTTATTTTTAAAATATATTGGTAACAATATCTACAAATCCGATACTTAAAGTGAAAAAAACAACTACTACATGGACGGTTTCTCAAATGAGTTTAAGCGACGTCCTATAAATTTTATCAGATAATAAACAGATTTCCAGTTATTCCTATTAGTGTTTATGATATGTACATTTAATGATTAATTTGTGGAGTATTTACTGAGATATTCAGTAATTCATCATTGTTTAATAATCGGTGTCTCTTTTCCAACATAGGATAGAAATTAGTATTACAAGATAAAATCCTTTGACTTGTTGACCTCGAATTTCGTGGGACAAGATCAAATATATATATATATATATATATATATATATATATATATATATATATATATATATATATATATATATACTTACCTTGGCAATGAATAATAACAATACGTATTGTAAAATAGGCTTCAATTTACAAATGCCTAACATAAAACGATAAGTATCAAATAATGACAATTCTTTGTTTGACTCAGTTACATTCAGTTCTTCATCTGCAGAAATTTCAATAATACGACTCCAACCACTGGGAGTACGTGAACGACTTCGAGTGGATTCACAACTAATCTGTTTCTCAATTGTATTTGTTTGTGAGATACGATTTCTAGAGGATAACTGTCTTTCGATGTTTCCTATTTGATTTGAATAGATTAACGGACCATTTGAATTATTACTAAGTTGATTAGAATGAGCAGATGATATAACGGACAGATTATGAGGTACCTCCTTCTTGAAAACTCCAACAAGTGTGGTTGCCACCAAGAATACAATACCCCAAAAATAAAGAAAACCTATTTTAAGAAATAATACAATACATATAAACACGGTTCACTGTGATCGCAGGTAAATAGAATGAAGTTAAATTTTGAAGTAAAATGCACGGTATATAAACGCGCATCATTTTTTTATGAAAACTTATTCACTAAAATCAAAATAAAACAATTGAGTTTATAAATTGAATCAAAACAACTAATCAAAGCAACAGGATGAGTATTTTCATTTGAGTTTCAACAAACGAAACAAATGTATCACACTAATGAATGATTGATTATCGAATTCCATTAAACTAGCATAACGATAACACTATACATCTATTTTGAGATCAGTGATGCAATCAAGCAGATAAAAGTTAGTAAGATTATTTTAGTTTAAAGCGATCTTGACTTACACTAAACTTTTTTGAACCAACAGCTCATAGCGTTAAAACTGTAGTGTCGATTACTAAGTTAAGCCCACATAACTTATTCTAGCTTCTGGACAGACCAATTTTATCATTCTTCTTGATCCACATTCGCTTATCAACCTTGACTGTTTTCATATGAGCGTGTGTGTATTTCTTATCCTACACAACACATGTTTGTAACCTATTTTTGTGTGACCATAAATATCGATCCACACTTGATTAAATCGAGTTGGCTTACTCGCCTTCTCCATTGCGCGTCATTTTGTTTTGCTTCGCTTTCCAATCGACGACTGTACGAAATATACGTATTCAAAAATGTATTTCCGTATTTGACTTATTTGATTCGGTTATTCACAAACGCGATTTAACTCGATGATTATATACGAGGATTGACGACATGCATATTTCAATAATAATCGTTCAAACGATCTACTTTGAGTTAGATACCGAGTCACTAAAAAACAACTTATAAACTGCTCACGTAAAGTATATGGACAAATTTTATGGTCGAACAGTTATTTATAGAGTAAAAATATAAGTTCAATAGTGTGTATCGTAGGATTGCTTCCATCTAGTTGATAAAACGTATAGAATAGCTTGAATGGTATGACACTAATTAATCAATATGCATCAACATTCGTCATATAAAAATAAATAAACATTGACCTAAATCTAACCTGAAAAAGTAATCAGCCCTTCACCTTCAACAGGAGTCAATCGTATATACTTATTAGAAATATCTGGTGATTCTAAACACATGAGGACGACAAACGCAATTAAATGACCTAATGTTTGACCAACTGTATTACATGTGGAAGCCCATCCCAAGTTTTTTCTAAAATAGGAGAAGCAGAATCAAGCAAAAAATTCAAGTTCCAATTAGAAGATTTGATATATGCAATAGGAAACAATATTTATCTTCGGGGATCTAATAAAAAACAATCATATGAATTAAGATTTACTACCAAAGGGACCGTTCAAAGTTATAAGTACGCTACAGTAGCCGTCACCCGGCAACATGTAGATAGTATTGGGACGAGGAATGCGAGATCACACAGTGAGCACAACGCAGTTTACCTACATAATGAGAATTTTTATTTACGAATCCCCATCTACTGAATACTACAGGTATGTACATTTTATCACTGCAAACAGAAACTATAAATCACAACTTAATATTAAAGCTCCATCGGTGAATATTAAATTTTTAGTCGGGGAAATTGATTATGAACAAAGTGGTCTTGAGTGCTGCTAGAGGTATGAGGGCAGTTATCACTTCCTGGTCACCTACACCGTGGAAGGGTTCTTCTGGAGGTACCTGAAAAGGAAAGTGGATTAGAGGTGGTCTTAGTGACCCGAGAGCGTGACCGCAGTACCCAAGGGACAACTGCTCGAGTAATTTTCGTGTTAACTCCGTACTTGTTGAGACCTTACCGCCGGAGACGGATATCCATGGAATAAGGCGAGGTGTGCATTTTTAGGGTTGACCTTTTCAAACCCCACCCCTTCTTGTGGGAAGGTAGCATCGCTGTCATGCTGGTTGTCTGAGGGAAGCACCTTACTGCCACCACACCTCTGTAGAGTCAGCAGTAGGACTTCGCCCCCAGACCTCGGGTTCACTTCTTTTAGTCTTGCCGCTCTTCAATCGACCTGTCCGGCATGTTAGGAACTTGAGGGACGATTGTTCCAACCGATATAGCCCGATTGGTTTATCACGATAGGCAAGCCCGACCACCACGTCAAGGTGACAGCAACGGCCGGGATTAAATTTTTAAATAAGATTATATCGAGATATTAAAAAAGATGGAGAATGACATTTATTACTAACCATTTATAACGTGGAAGAAGACCATCAAGTTTGCTAATTAGGTCTTAAACTTGTTGACTTACAAGTGACCTACGAAATTCGCACTTTAAAAACAAGTACGCCTTATATTATTTGTAATTAAGAATACTTCTGTTTGATACTTCATACATATGTATGTTATTTTAATAGAAAAATGACTGTTTCTTAGCTTGTTGTTACAAATCTTTATATTAGCCGTTTATGCCGACAGCTTAGTCACATAAGCTGTTACTTCATCATAGTACAAAACATAGTTTTTATATGACTAGCATTCTATTTCACAAATCGGCAACTAAGATATAATCATAATCAAAATCTGTTCACAACACTTAACTAATGAATTATTGTAAACCCTTTGGACAGATAGCTGTGTATCTTTCTCAGTCTTCAGTTGCATAGCTCATTAACTTCTTTTAGAATTAAATATTACAACTATTTACATAGCTAATCACATATCAATAACTTTAGACTCGATCAGCTTCAAGTATAATTTCGACCATGCAAGCGATCAGTGATGAAGGGGGCTGGCAATTTTAAAAAATTCGTATGTCAATAAATGTGAAACTTATACTCCTTAATATACAAATACTGGTAAACTGGACACCGAAATAAATAGGCGTAGCACAAATAAGGGAATAAAATTGTGAACAGACAGAGGGAGTATATAGAACAAAGAGCTGGAAAGAAATAAGTGAACGAGAGTATTTGTCCCTTTGCTACAATGCAATTAGAGTCAATATTTAACTCAATGTCGAAATACTCTTATTGGATATTATGTACTCTCTCAACCGTATGAACAATATGTTTTATGTAGAATACATAGAATGTGTCTAGAAGCGGAAACGAAGACGTGCATTTCTTCCTATTTGAGACTGGTCAGTTGCATGTACCTGGATCCAAGAGCTGATACTCACTTCAGGACTCAAACGCCAATGCGTTATCCACTTAGGTACTAAATCCAGATAACCAACCACTTGTGCAATTGGTATGAGTTTTAATTCAATTTGAAATGACTTGGATTGCTCTGTTGCTGAAATCCGGCTGACAAGTCCCGAATAGGACGGAACACGCATCCTGGGTTCCCTTGATAGTTATATTTCATCCATTCTACACTACATTGTGCTCTAATGGCAATCTGCACAGGATGCCCATATCCCAACCAAGGTCGATCAAATTTCGGGATAATTCAGGTCACTTCCAATCAATATGTTTCATTTATTTTACAAATGATCACACTGGTTATTATGATTACCTTATTTGCTTTTTTTTCTAATTATATATATTTTAGTATACGGTTACAATGAAAAAATAATTGAAAATAAAATTTTCTTAGCTCTGTTACCTTTTCGCTGAATGTCTAAACAGGAACTTTAACTCCATAAAAATAAAGATAATTAAACAGCTATTTTGATCGCTTCTTTTTCATAGATATGTCAGACAATAAACTCACCTAGACAACATCGTAAGCGCCCATCCATCTACTACAATATCTTGTGTAGCTGCAAGAAAAGTAAGTCCAAAGAAAGCTACAGTCAAGCGTGAAATATCCACTGGATGCATCACACCTAATGGGCCCCATGGGTTATCAGGAGTACGCCCCAACCACTGGTTAACATAGAGCGCGATAATAAGCAGGTTAATTCCAAGAGCATATTGAATGGGAATAAGCCAAGTCTTTCGTCTTCCTATACGTGAACTGTACAACGAGTCTACTATTGGAGCCCAAGCTAATTTAAGTGAAAATGGCCAAAATGCAAACGAGAAAGCTGCTTGTGATTGGTAATTAGCCGATTTTGGATCTGATTGTAGTAAGTAAGGGACTGCAGACGACAGTCCAAGAGGGATGCCCTAACAATGAGATAAATTGGACCAAGAACATATTTAGTTAGTTCTAAAATCTATATTAGATGATCATTTAAAACGAATGACATGAAAAATACTAACTACAAAAATGTAAAGGCAAACAAACAGTAACAGTCCGTTGCTGAAATTTAAGGTACTATAACGTCAGTCTCGACCCTTCTACAGACCAGATATGAAGAATGGAGGTAGTTACAAGACCGTACAAGCTATCATTAAATTCAAAAACCAATATGGTATCTCAGTTAGACCTTAAAAATGCTTTGAAACTTCCCTGTACACGTTTTATGAACTTAGGAGTATGTTTAGGCAAACTGCTGAAATCGAAGCCGAAAGAGAGGAATGTTGTTGTGTCTGTCTCGAAATTTGTCTGTTGAGATCAGATAATCGACATCCCTTTTAACTGATTATTGTGAAGCAATGTATTTTTCATCTGTTATAAACCCAGAGAAAACAAAAGGGTTTACAGTAAGCGGGAAGTTCGGATGGGAAATACATGTTTTAACGACTTCGGTCCGAATATGTCTACATACTTTGAATTGTCTAGTTCAGTTTAGTGACGCTTAGGAAGAACTTAAAAACAAAATAAGTGATATGTGCTTAGCTAACTGAACACTATGATAGCATATGATATCCGATGATGACCCGAAATAGTGACTTATTGAACATGCTTATGGAGAAGTTAAGCAGACCTAAAATGTGTTAACTGACACACTAATTCCGGACATTTACAGCAAACTGTTCTTCTATTGGGTTAATTTTTCGGTCGACGGGTTTTTTATCAAGTGGATTGGACAAAAACTGTTTGGTGGCAAATATGAAACTTGAGGGCTTAATAGACTACGGAACCAGCACAAAAATACGCTGATTTGTCTGCATCATACGAGTACTGGGACAACATAATCTGATGCACCCCTGAATAATTTATCGAGGGCTTACCAATTGTACAGTTTTGAGTCTTGCCTGTCCATGGACTAATGGAGACTTATATACACGCTCTAAAATCTAAATGATTACTTCGAATTTGATCTTCTGCTGCTACAGTGCGCTTAAAGTATAATCCTAAAACCTTAGATAGTTGGCCTTTTAGTGTTTCGTTAATAACGGCGATTCCGTTTAACAAAGTAATTGGCTCCGAAAAATATAAAAAATTAGTTGAGATCACATATGTTTGAAATTAGATTTCGGTCAACAAAATCTCCTGACAATTTACATTTAAACCTTAATCTACATAATAATCAATATTCGGAATAGTCGAGTATGCTAAGAACGTTTTAAATAATCAGAAAACCCACTTGCAAAATGTAGAGAAATATGAGAAGACAAATATTACAAAAGTCTGAAGGTTCTTTATCACACATTTTATCGATATAACCTTGATTTGCAGATGGGTCGGTTATAACAAGTGATTTCTTCTTAGCCATTTTCATAAGACAATTAATCGACGACTTCGATCTATGTATTTTCAGTGTTACTTAAAAGGTTGTGGCACAAATACGAAACCTAGTTTTCGAAAGAATTGACATCAACCTTAAAGATGTCGAGGTGTAAGATCAGTGATACTCCACTCGATGAAGATGGAAGGCTAAAATAAAAAACACGGTAGTAAAACATCAGTCGGTAGTGGACAAATGAGAATTTAAGAAAATTAAGCAATAGGAAATATTGAGAGATTGAGGTTTTAAACCCATTGCATCGCTACTCTTAATGAACAGTCATTCTCCTACAACTGATGAGTAAGGTAGTGGGGATGTTTGTTGTGCGTTCGCTTGACATCAAGTCAGACCACACCCCCGACACTTAAAAGGGTTAAGATGAAGAGAATCCACATGTTTATGCCCACTACCACAGAAGCCGAACTCGATACTTACATGAGCAGAGGCGTTGTTTACAGAAATAAGGGGACGAAAAGCGAATGTCAGGCGTTTACAACGGGTTAGTGGGGTACGGAGGACTCACCTAGAGGTGTTGGGAAACCTTGATTCCAAGTCAATGGTGCACATGGACTCTAGGGTCCCGAAGAGAAAATGGCATATAAACTTAATTTTAGCCACCAACTACCACAAGACGATACTTCCGAACGCTGCTCCACTGCCTTGTGGACTAGACCTCTAAGTCAAAGCTCGAGAGGCGGTCCCTCTAAGAAAACCATCCACTTCGGTTAGGGAAGTTACGTAGTATTCCAGACGACTCACGAATACGGTAACCGGAAATTGTAAAAATGATATTTGGATCTGCTTCCTCACTGGCACAAATGATAATTGTTCTAGATTTGATTTAAATGTATTGTTAAGCCAAAAAACCAAAGAATAAAAAGCTGAGCAGAATACTACAAATTCACCCTATCTTGTCAGGTTTTCATTAGCTGACAACAACCTAAAATATTTTAAGATTAATTCAAGCAAGCATACTGATAACAGTGAAATTGGGTTAAATGTAAATAAGTATTATCATGGTGCAGCGGCCACTCGAATATATGTGATGAGACTTAATGAATGCAAAAACGTATTACAAATAAATACAATGTTAAAGAGGTGATTCCATAACATCAAACATAATGACAAAAGATCACAGATCTGGGAAGTATTAGATCATGTAGTGAAGTAGCTGAACACAAACTAATAGTAATTAAGAATAACATGTGTTGAGATTAATTAATTAAAAATAAAATTATGAATTTGACAGGAGAGAAAATGGCGCAACTAAAATAGGAGAGTTGCAAGAATGATGCAATAAAATGAGGTAAGGCAAGGTTTATCACTATTTCTTTCTCAACACATGAATCAGGTTTAATACGTTTGATGGCCATGAATTCAGAAAATTTAAGAGGATTGGGATTCCACTGTCAATTAATAATCTTGAATAATTTTTGTTGTGCTCCACTCTCTAATCTGTTTTGCTTCCATTCTGTAATTATTTTTATTTTACAACTTCCTCAGCATAACGTCATTCTAGAGAATTCTGTCGTGTCTAGATGTCAGGTCTTTCGTTATTCGATCTAGATAACCTTATTGCTTAGAATTCTTGGGACATTTTACTTTATTCGACTAATCCCCGAAACTAGAATATGGCTTGGACATCCATATGATCATATTCTAAATAAACTAAGTTGAGTGAGTGTGAATAACAGTAAGCAAAACGTTAGTAAACTTGCAACTTTACACAAAAGGAGTCCTCTCTAACTATCCCCTGGAGCTGATTAGCTTAGAATGGACCAATCAGTGTGCTCCAGCGTAATCTTGTAAGGGGAATGCTCTAATCTAGCCCCTATTAACACTAGAAAATTCCAGGTCACTGAATATTTGAATATCTAAATGCTGCTACTTAATACGAGATTTGGATCGGCTTGCATGAAGTTACGAGTGTTGTTTAGACTGGCTTCTTTTTAACACTTGCACTTCGATTCACATCAGATAACAGATAGGTTTGGTTGTTTTTGAAAATTTTTAACGTCGATTTTTGCAGTATCTCTGACACCTATATTTAGGACTCTAATGAAGTATTACGAATATGTTCTCTATCTGTCGATTCGAAAAGCTTAATTCATGTGAGTTCATCCGGGGACCTCATAACATCTTCATCCGATTCTGCTGGTGTTGTCATCGCACTAAGCGACAGAGCAGAAGCAACACTAATTGACTGTATCTGCATTGAAACTCTCTTAAGTGCTGTTAGGTCAGAGAGATCCATTGAAGTGAGAGGATAGTGGAATGGGAAAAAACACCTTTCCGTTATCCCAACCTTCACTCCAGAAGATAGACGTCTTGTCAAAATCAAGAATGAAACAAATTACCCTATTTAGAAGGCGTGTTTGACAGATATTGTACTGGTAACCCAAGGTCAGAATTTGCAGATAAGGTGTCTAGACTCCCAAGTGCTCAGTACGGTTGAGGGTGTAGGGGAGCCCACTTCTCACACGCCCATACAACCACTGCTGGGGAAGTCTTACTAACTTCCTTCTCGCCTCAGGAGTGTTGTTTGCGAAATTTAGATGACGAAAAGCGAGTGTCAGGCGTTTACACCGGGTCAGTGGGTACGGAGGACACACCTAGAGAAGTTGGACAACCCTTATTTCAAACCAATGGTGCATATGAGCGTCAGAAACCTGGAGGAACAAATGACATACAAAAATATTTTTGATCACTGGCTACCATGTGATTGTATCTTTTAACGTTGCTCAACTGCCTTGTGTATTAGACCTCAGGGTCAAAGGTTCAACGAGCTACCTCCTAAGAAGATTACTCGCTTCGGTCTGGGCACCTGATGATTATCCCAGCCCACACACAGACTCAATCATTTCTGCCACATATGCATATTTTTTCACATCAAATGTACTATATTACCCCCAACCAAAATACGTTGCGCAGAAGTGCTAAAACAACATTATGACGCGTCAGTGTAGACAAGGATGTCGATTCCACGAAAGATCTCATAGGACAGTTAGTCAAATCATGACAAATCCAAAGGCATCGGATTAGAAAAGTCGCAAAAGCAATAGATATATAAATTAAATTAAATAATTCCACATAAGTGTCACAACACACAAAACTTGAAAAGTAGGTCACTGGCATAATTTATAAGAAACAATTAAGAAAACAATTAGGTTACTGGGCATAGATGAAACCAAGTCTCGGTTTCGGAAATCCAGAAGTCCTTGTTTCAGCCCTACGTATTTTCAGAAGGGAGTGTGAAGAGAAGCTTGTTAGGGATTCTATGAATGAAATGAACTTACATCCAGTGTCAACACAAAGTTAGTAATGCTGAGATTTAGCAATGTATTCGTGTGCAGTGACGATTATTCAACTAGTGTTACCATCTTGTAACACCGGCTGCGGTGACTTAGACATATGCTATGAATGTCGCACCATCAACTTAGAAATCGCGCAATGTTTGTCCATACAAAGACTGGCTGAGATAAGAGAAGTGGTCATATTCTAGTGACATGGCACTACGATATGGGAGGACGTCGACTGACATTTGTCTGTCTATCACGACTTCCGGGTTAGAGTCGGAAAGACAGCGCGACCCAGAAGTTCGAGGTGTTACCAAACGTGGCTCGATATAAAATCCAATAGGGTTCTACTGCATCGTCTCTTACATTCTTCATAACAAAGTGAAAGGAATATCATTTTTCCATATAACTGTCAGCTCTAGCGAAACCAAACATCTGACATATACAGACAGACATTATCAACATTGAGACTGGGAGACCAAATAACTGAGAAAAAATGCATGAGAAAACAATCACACAGAATCTTTAGTAATAAGACCTGAACTCTACATAGAAACATTTTTGAGATGCATTCATAAAACTGCACATGTTACTACACCATGCATAGTTAAAACAATACCACGCAAACCATAAAACATGGTTCAATGAATAGGTCCGTATCCTTCTTCGTAAAAGGGAAAGAATATAGACGAGATTTAGGTTATTGGGCATAGATGGAACCAAGTCTTGGTATCGGAAATCCAGAAGTCCTTGTTTCAGCCCTACGTATTTCCAGAAGGAAGTGTGAAGAGAGGCTTGTTAGAGATTCTATAAAACGTCCAAATTTGATTTTTTTTTTTTACATTAGTCGAAGGACGAAGATAGGGGGCGGTATCCCAGTATTGTATGAAGATAGTACCAAGAAATCACCAATCGGAAACGACTGCGTTAAATCTCGTATTGTCAAACTACTTTAGCACTATGTAAACAGCAGAGACGCCTTTCTCCCGGAAACATGTAAATCCTGCAGTCCATACGCTCGGTACTATGGCCACTAAAGACCTAGATGTCTTTGGTCTACCAAATAAAATTGACGCAGGAGGATCCACAGGACTTTATGAGATGGATGGGTATGAACCACAGTCTAAGTGCGAGGGGTAATTATACTACCTGGCTCCCCGAAGAAATGAGGTGGTACGGGGCACAAACCTAGGACTCAGTGAACAAAAATCAAATGCCCTAACCACTGAGGCACTGTTACTGAAGGAACATGCATCTCTCATTGCAAATCCTTTGAGCACATGTTTGTTTATCTGCAACTCAAGATGAACTACCAAAAGACTGAAAGAACCCTATAGTATGCCCTGTCTTCAAAACAAGTACAAAGTGTACACACAAGAACTATCGTCCTGCTAGTTTAACCAATGTAGCTGTCAAGACTCTAGAAAACAATACTCGCAACTAACTGTCTAAGCATCTAGATTAAAACCAGAAAGTATTAGAATAGGTTATCCACGACCACATGTTTATTGATAGCACGAGAAGGTTACCGGGCTATAAAAGATCAAAAGCTACCCATAGGCGTAGCCTTCATTGACTTCAGTAAGGATTTTAACAAAGCTCCGCACAACAAGTTGTTATCCAACTTAGGGGATATCAGGATGAGAAGCAACTCACTTTTGCGGGTATGACTTTTTAGTTGGACCCCAAAAAGGAGTATGAGTTGACTCGAAGTTGTTTAAGTAGGAGACTGTGCTTAGTGAATTGTCCTAGAGAACAGTTTTGCGACTAATGTCATTCCTCTTGTACGTAAATGACCTTCCTAGTCCCTTACCGTCATTTGCCCTGGCATGTACTGATAATATCAAGATATGAAGAGCGATACGAAATAAAGGAGACAGTTTGGGGTCATGATGCATATCGGTCAGTATTTGTTTGACCTGAACTCGAGTACTGACAAGCTACAAGTATCTGTCCTTCCCACACAAAGACTGAAACTAGATCAAATGTAATAAACACTTCGATTTTCACTACAATTGAATCGATAAAACGGCCATACGCGTAATGACATGACAGAAATATTCGACATAAAAAACATTGATAAGCAATACAAGTCCACATCATAATGGAAACAAATTACAACCATTCAGAGGGATGTTTCACAAATTACTATGAGAACTTACATCTCATAAATGGTCTTCATTTTTGTATAATATTCATACTTTAAAACCCTGGAGCTAAAATGCACACTTGATAAACATTTGGAAAGCTTGTTGTTTTTCAGCATTGTCGCGTTATTTACAACCAGTCATTAAGAAACTACATTGTATCCTAAAGTCATCGGGATTGTACAGTATGGTAATTGAGCAACAAAGTACACTGAAGGCATTTGTTACCAGAATACCCCCTGGTACGTGACATAACTAGCGATTAGCTGGCATAGTGACTTAAACGCAATATGTTCACGACTTATTAGAATCAACTAACGATGTGTCGGAGAGCGTCGTTTATTCGTTTGTTTATTTAAATACCTAAACATTGGTACAAGGAGGTACCAAATAGATATGCGCCACACGAATCATTTGATTCATGTGAGGGCGAGAATACTGCCCGGACGACCAAACCGAAGTAGTTGATTTTGCTATGAGGCAACCTCTGAGCCTTTGACCTTGAGTTTTAATACACAAGGCAGTTGAGCAACGCTAAAAGATGCAGTTTGTCATAAGCTCTCAAGTGGTCGAGTGAGAGTTTACGAAAAATTGTCATCAGAACTGATTACCTCAAGTGGTGTTCGTCAGGGCTGTCCACTCTCTCCATTCTCGTTTAACTTTGTTGTTGACGTCCTTTTAGAGATGACACTTTCCACATCTGACTTTCCAGGGGTTAAACTTCTACAGGGAGATTCACATTTTGACTTAGAATATGGCGACAACATAGTTCTATTTGGTGAAGACGCTGAAAAAATGCAGAGTCTGCTGACCACTCTAAGCAACAATGCAGGCATGTTCGGCATACGATTTTCTCCCTCGAAATGCAAAATGTTGCTTCAGGATTGGGTTGCGTCGACACCCGAACTAGTGATAGGGAGTGAAGTAAATGAGCATGTCGACCGCCTCACTTATCTTGGAAGTCTCATCAGCCCTTGTGGTATGGTGTGTGACGAAATCTCAACACGGATACAGAAGGCTCGACTAGCTTTTGCTAACTTGCGTCATTTGTGGCGTAGGCGAGATATCTGTCTATCAACCATAGGACGTGTTTACTGCGCAGCAGTTCGTTCTGTCCTACTTTATGGCAGTGAAACATGGCCAGTAAGAGTAGAGGATATTCGTAGGTTACTAGTATTTGATCATAGGTGTCTTCGAAACATTGCTCGTATATCCTGGGACCACCGAGTAAGTAATGCAGTTGTTAGGAAACGGGTACTAGGTAAGGATGGAAAATCAATTGGTGAAGTAGTGAAACGTAATCAGTTAAGATGGCTGGGACATGTGTTACGTATGCCCGACCACCGACTGCCCCGACGTGCGATGTTTTCTGGTGTAAGAGTAGGTTGGAAGAAAGCTAGAGGCGGTCAGACCAAAACATGGCACAAATCCATGAATTCACTGACAAGTGTACTGAACCATGTCGGCAGGTGTAAAGTACCTAATTGGGTTCCGGGATATGATAGCAACTGATGGTTAGAGATCTTGAATGACAAGGCTCGAAATCGTTTGCAATGGCGCTGATAAATCTACTCTTTGTGTTCTCCCAAATTGTAATCTTCTGAATTTTTCATGTCCTTTATTTTCTTTCCAAATTTATTCCACTGGATTATACTCCTTGAATAACATCATCAAACCCTAATGTTCCCTATTACTACTTATACTTTCACTACGTCTACCACTATGGGATTTGAGTCGACAACTGCATTTCTGTGCTAATGTGGTATGGCAACTCGAACTGATGTACGTACGTACGAAGTTCCACGTTGTTACTCACTGACTGACTGAAAAGATGCAATCACATGGTAGCCAGTGATCAAAAATATTTTTGTATGTCATTTGTTCCTCCAGGTTTCTGACGCTCATATGCACCATTGGTTTGAAATAAGGGTTGTCCAACTTCTCTAGGTATGTCCTCCGTATCCACTGACCCGGTGTAAACGCCTGACACTCGCTTTTCGTCATCTAAATTTCGCAAACAACACTCCTGAGGCGAGAAGGCAGTTAGTAAGACTTCCCCAGAAGTGACTGTATAAAAGTAGCCAAGTGAGAGCACTTCGAGAAGGAGAGCCGACTCTCCTTACCTTCGGTCATATCACGGCATTTGGAAGCATTGTATTCTTAAAAAAAACTTTTGGGACCCATACAGTTCAGTCCCATAATAAAACTGTTATTCAAGTGGCAAAACTATCTAAATAGTGTGCATAAATATCATAGAATTGAACTAAAATCTGGTATGAAGGTAAAATGCATTTTGTTAGGGTGTATGAATAAACCAAGGACCCAAGTAAGCAACAGTCAACTTTATTGTACAATGAATTTTATCTCTATAATCCGTAACGCTTGGAATGACAATTGTTACTCAGCTGAAGTCGAGCTCAGCTGGTCTGTATGATCCAAAGTAACTAATAAAAGGAAGAAAAGAGCCGACGAAAGAGTAAATAGTGGAAAAAAGTAGAGTTCTCCCTCCCACGTGGTGCATTTGAGGTGATTTTGTAGACAAACATATGTAAGGTACTGCGTTTAAATATGCTACCTCCTGTACTTATATTTTTGTTAATCATTAAAAATAACTTATAGCTTAGTAAAAAATGACGACAACTATGTTTAACACATGTCGAAAAATGCAGAAAAGTAATTTCCTTAGATGCAGATATTCAAACTTTGTTGTTTCTTTAACTAGTGTTCCAACATGCTTAGTAGCCATCAAAAATAGCCGACGAGATGCAAGTGCGTAGCGTGCTTTTTGTGTTTATGTTCATTATCACTAATTACTCTGTGGTACGCACCAAGAAGTAAATTATACAACTGACAAGCTGCTTATATAGTTTCACGTGACAACAGAATGAATCCTTCATACAGGAAGGTCTAATACTGCAAATGTTAATAACACAAGAGAAATCACTCACATTAGCAGTCCGACAAATCGGATGACATACGTGGCACGAGAAGGGCGGTAACAACGGAAACGAAGAACAGTAGAGTCCAGTTCAAATCTCCCACTTTCGTTACGACAACCTTGAGCACAGCTTTAGTATTAAAGGAACATATGTTTGGCTTGCTTGTTTTGACAATAATGGTCTCTCAACTGATCCAGTTTTTATTCGAATGTGTCGAAAGACAGAGATTTATTCATGTATTTGTAGTGACCTACTTTTGTCAACAGAACGCGATTGGTTCGATGAAAACAATTATTATTATAACCAATTGTACCAGTGATTGTTTTATTGTGCTCGTTTGTTTAACTGTGCTAATGACAGCCATTATACTTACTCTCCCGTTGACTTCGAACTTGTACGAATCCGGTTACGCTCAGTAACCACGCTTGTACTCCTTTGGCACGATCTCGGTATTCTTTCGATACCACGAGATCGCCAACAAATATATACGACTACTACAATCATTTGCCTTCTGATATTTTGGCCTATCGGAATTTTATTGGTCTATTGGCAAGTAGTCTGGTAGCGGTGTTCATAGTTCAGCTCAACTCGACACCACGCTACATTTGGTGACCCAAATTTTGGAACCCGCCTCAACTTCGGTCAAATCTTCTGCAACTGGTGAACCTACATCTACGACCACTTGGCAATCGCAACCAAACCTTCCAAAGAAGTCAATTTTGGTGAGTCTATCGCTTATCTATCCACGTCTGTCATATATTTCCATATTAATTTTTAATATATATATTTGACATGACGGATAACGATAAGAATAGTATTAATATAATAGACTCCGATGTACGCGTACCGAATCCTCGGCACTTTTTATTCGCGTGACGATAAATTCCACGCCTTATTCGAGAAATTCCCCAGATTAACTAAACCACTCGAGGAGATTTCATCGGTGACCAATCGTGTGGTACACCACATAGTCACCCGCGGACCACCAGTCACGGCAAGACCACGCCGACTGGCATCGGACAAATTAGCATTCGCTAAACGTGAGTTTGACAATTTACTATCTGCTGGTATTATTCGTCCTTCTCACAGTCCCTGGGCCTCTCCTCTACAGATGGTGCGCAAAAAGGATGGGGTTAGTTGGAGACCATGCGGCGACTACCGAGCATTAAACGTAGTTACGCGCTTTGATAGCTACCCCATCCCCCACATACACGACATCACGGCATCACTCAAGGGCACGACTATCTTTTCTAGGATTGATCTGGTACGAGCATATCACCAGATCCCAGTCGCTCTTGAAGACATCGAAAAAACTGCTATCACGACTCCTTTCGGTCTGTTTGAGTTCCTACGAATGCCATTTGGATTACGGAATGCTGCTCAAACTTTCCAAAGGTTTATCGATAGCATAGTACGAGACTTGGATTTTGTTCACGTCTATATTGATGACCTGCTGATCGCATCATCAAACGTAGATGAACATTATCAACACCTTACGCTATTATTCCAACGTCTTTCGGATAATGGAATAGTAGTCAACCCAGAGAAATGTGAATTGGGTAAATCAGAAATAATATTTCTGGGTCACATCATCAGACAAGAGGGTATTCTGCCTTGCGAGGACAAAGTTCGAGCAATCAAGGAGTACAACGTGCCGTCCTCAATCAAGGAACTGAAGGCTTTTCTCGGTTTGGTTAACTTCTACCGACGTTTCATCCCTCACGCGGCAGAACGGTTACGACCATTAACCGATTTACTACGCGGTAATCCACGCAAATTAGAACTGAACGATACCGCACGTACTGCATTCTCAGAGATCAAAACGGCTCTCGCTGAAGTTACACTTCTCGCTCATCCTGACCCATCAGCCACGCTTAGTATAGCGGTTGATGCATCGGATTTTGCCATAGGAGCCGTCATGCAACAGAATATCTCCGGTAGTTGGCAACCGCTCGAATTTTTCTCACGACGCCTTACTCCCACGGAGACGAGATATAGCGCTTTTGGTCGCGAGCTGCTTGCAGCCTACTGCGCCATCAAACATTTCCGGCACGCAGTAGAAGGACGTCAATTCATTTTATTCACCGACCATAAGCCCTTAACGTATGCTCTGCATACCAAGTCTGACCGCTACTCACCACGAGAGTGCAGACATTTGGACTATATCTCCCAGTTCACGACAGACCTTCGTCACATTAAAGGCGAGTCGAACTATGTTGCCGATGCTCTTTCACGTATCCAGACGAATGCAGTTACCTTACCGGTGCTCGATCTTCCTGCTATGGCCGCCGCGCAAGCAAACGATCCTGTCTGTACAGAAGCACCACAATCTTCATCCCTTCAGTGTCAGGAAGTACCCCTAGCTACTAGCTCAGGTACTATCCTATGTGATATTTCTACCGGTCTACCTCGACCCATCGTACCCTCTACCTATCGCCGTCTCGTCTTCGATGCCCTTCATGGATTGTCTCATCCAGGTATCGCAGCCACATTACGCCTCATCGCTGCACGATACGTCTGGCCGTCCATGAATAAAGATGTTCGTATGTGGGTAAAGCAATGCTTACAGTGTCAACGATCAAAAGTGCACAGGCACGTAGCTGCCCCCATTGGCACGTTCGCTACGCCTGATGCTCGCTTTGATCACGTTCATATAGACATTGTAGGACCATTGCCACCATCGCATGGGTATGATCACATACTCACGTGCATTGACCGTTTTACAAGATGGCCCGAAGCTATTCCCATCACGTCTATCACGGCGGAGACAATTGCTCACCGCTTCGTAGAACGATGGATAGCATTGTACGGTTGTCCCTCGACTGTCACGACTGACCGAGGACAACAATTTGAGTCCGCATTATTCTCCTCACTGACCCGGCTGCTTGGTACGGAACGCATACGCACCACCGCCTACCATCCAGCATCGAATGGTTTAGTCGAACGGTTTCATCGCCAACTTAAAAGTGCTCTTCGAGCACACGAAAACGACAATTGGTACGAAACCTTACCGCTCGTTCTCTTAGGCATCAGAACGAGTTTGAAGGCAGATATTCAATGTTCCGCCGCTGAACTTGTATACGGCACGACATTGCGTCTGCCTGGGGAATTCTTCACACCACGGAGCAGTAATGATTTCGGTAAATCAGACTACGTCCATCGACTGTCTGCATTTATGCGAACGCTGTCTCCGGTGTCAACTCGAATACAACATCGACAGGTCGCTCTCCCTCGAGAGTTATCTACCTGTTCACATGTTTTCATACGAGTAGATTCGGTACGCAGACCTCTACAACAGCCTTACGAAGGCCCTTTTCACGTGATCTCTCGTCACGAAAAGACCTTCAAGGTTGATCGACACGGCCGCGTCGAGATCGTCAGCATTGATCGTCTCAAACCAGCACACGTCGATGACAGTGCCCTACCCAATAACTTGAGACTCAATGCTAGACCTACCAAACCTTCTAGCGGGATCTCTACGTCTACCTCGGATCCCACGCTAGATACATCAGAGACCTCGTTCTCACGTCCCGGTCAACAGCACGCGTCATCTGCACCATCTACGGACGAGACTTCCGTCTCACGTCCAGATCGGCAGACCACGCCGCCCTTGACCTCGGATGAGATCGCAGGCTCACGAAGTACGAACGAGACTACCGTCTCACGTTCCGGTCGCCGAGTACGATTACCCGTACGCTTTCGCGACTAAACGCACAGTCAATAACGGATACGGTGTAGGATTATTCCTATACTACACGCATGCTACACTTTTCTTTTTTTGATTTTTTTGTATCCTGAGCCCACGCCTCCGACCATCGCCCGTTTGATAACGTCGACTTCAGTCAACTTTGGCAAAAGCTGGCCTCATCACCCACGCTCTAGTCAACGCACTCAGTCGATTATCTGGTCTCGAATTCGCCTGGCATATGCTTGGTAGTTATGGTCGCGTCCGGTTTCTTGGCTCAACGTGGTTTCGTCCTACGTCTGCAGCGTTTTCTGGTCCACATCCCTACGAACGCAATCTTCAGATTCTGGATACAAACCACTCTGGTGTGGTATGCTAATTCGACCAACAAATTCAGCACACTTCTGGTACCGTTCTGCGCAAAAGACTTTCGTTGGCAACTCGAGGATCAATGATCACTTCCTGTTCCGCCAATTTCCTCCGTCCTACAACCGCAATTCTGCCGATCAGTCCCACGAATCAAACCGCTAACTATCGAAAGTGTAAACCCTTTCTAGCGGGGGGCTCCTGTAGTGACCTACTTTTGTCAACAGAACGCGATTGGTTCGATGAAAACAATTATTATTATAACCAATTGTACCAGTGATTGTTTTATTGTGCTCGTTTGTTTAACTGTGCTAATGACAGCCATTATACTTACTCTCCCGTTGACTTCGAACTTGTACGAATCCGGTTACGCTCAGTAACCACGCTTGTACTCCTTTGGCACGATCTCGGTATTCTTTCGATACCACGAGATCGCCAACAAATATATACGACTACTACAATCATTTGCCTTCTGATATTTTGGCCTATCGGAATTTTATTGGTCTATTGGCAAGTAGTCTGGTAGCGGTGTTCATAGTTCAGCTCAACTCGACACCACGCTACATATTAAAGTAACGAATTTCATTCACAGATCATTTTATGGCAAAGTTGTTAGTCCGATGACAATTAAATTGTTCTGGGTTCAAATGGTTTAAATTGTTGTGGACAGAATAGACGAAGCCTTTGCCTAACGGGCTTCCGTGTCTAGTAGCAGTGAATCGCCAGTGCCTTCAGGCAGGAACCTAGGTATATTAACGATATTAGAGGAGAAGAAACAAATTGGTAAATCATAATAAGATGTTATCCTTAGTCCTTATGAATAGGTCAAGTTTTCTCTTAAAGGACTCCTGGAAAGTCTCTTGAACTATATCAGTCAGCAGCAAATTCCAGCATATGACAAATATTAAGGAGTAGAAGTTGTGTCTACAGTCCGTCCTGCTATGTTGTGTCTCCGATTTCTGGGTGTTGCCCCTTAGGTTTGTACTGGGACTAAGCTGAATTAGATGTTTAAGAGGATGTCAAGAAGTGCAAAGAATACTGTAAGCCATC